AGTGGGAACTTACTAGTTGTTTTTTTTCTTTTCTTTTTAGACAACATCATAAGATAAGATAAGATAAGATAAGATAAGATAAGATAAGATAAGATAAGATAAGATAATGTGGGATTAATAAAGGTTTATCTTTTGATGTTGTCTAAAAATAGTTAACATGTTGTATGCGTTTCCAGAAAAATATCTGAGTTTGGTATAACAGAGCCAACAGACAGTCTTAGTATTGTCAACTACGCTCTCTCTGGTGTTGGCGTAATGTGTTTGGAAGCCAAAGTGTTCCCAAGCTATCGATTTAAGCGATGTGGGAGGGCCCTTCAGCGCTCTAGCACTAGCTGTAACCAACTCCAAGCCACAATTGGCAGTGTCTTCCATGTTGAAAACCTACTTGCGAATTTAAGTTTCACTCGTGTCAAGAAATGCATTAATTCGATTCATCGCATGTTGCAAACTAAAAATGCTGTAACTGTAAGGCAAACAGTGAATTCATGTATCGTTACAGTTCTTCTCTTTACTTAAAATGAAGACCTGAAATACTCCTCAGCAATATTTGTTTAAAAATTGTGATGCATGTTGCATTTAAAGGAATATATCCATATAATATCGATCTGGGATGTCACTGCTGATTCCCAACCCTAGTGCCTATTGTCAACTGCCCATTTCAGCTCTTTCCGCAGATGCTCAGTTGGATTCACATCAGGACTCATGGCAGACTTCTTGAAAATGTTTGCCTGTCATGCATTCTTTCGGAGGACCCATGACCTGCGATTGAAAGACCACGTCCTGACCCTGGGCAGTCATTACTTTCCAAAACGACTTGACATTCCCCTGATCTCATTCTCCCGTTCACTGGTTCAAGACAACCAGTTCAAGAGGCAGGGAAGCAGAACATCACTGAACCTCCTGCATGTTTCACTGAGGGCATGGTGGTGCTCAGCTTGTAGGACTCATGCATTTTCCTGTGAACATACAGTTGCTGTGATCTACCAAAAAGATCCAATGAAGTTTCTTCAGCGCAAAGGGCCGGTGGCTTCCCCATGTGCAACTTGGAAAATTCCAAACAAACTTTTTTATGTATCAGTTTGAGAAGAATGGTCTCTTCTCCATTTGAATTTCTCCTCGTGGTGCAACTTGAAACCATAGTACCCGAGGTTGAAACTCACCTTGGGCTTGTTTTGAGGTTTTTCTGTTTTTTTCTCCACCATTCAAAGTACTTTTCATAACATACTTGGGTAAAGTTTCCTCTTGTGACTATGACCAGGGAGGTTGGCTACAGTGCCATATGCCTTAAACTTGTTGGTAATGTTTTCCACGGTTATCACAGGAATATCCAGCCCTTTAGAAATGGTTTTATGGCCTTTGCGTCAATCATGCTTGACTGTTACCTTGCTTCTAAGCTCCTTGGACAACTCTTTGTTCTTCTTTTCTTTCCATGCTTAGTGTGATATACACAATGCCACCAAACATGAGGTGCACTGTACTTTAAGGCAAGAGGCTTAATTTGTAGGATTAAAAGACCAGAATTCCCAGATAAACAAACCAGTCGAACTCTGACGATAAATACCAGGTAAGCAGTCATAACCCTATCCCTAACCCAAGCTGGCGGTCACATGAAATTTCCTGCCGTCTGCAGGTCTCCCCATCTCCCTGTCGGGTACCTGCACCCTGAGCTTTTCCCATCACTCTGTATAGTACATGCAGCCTGACTCTCCCTGTGAAGTACCTGCAGTCTGACCTCTCCCCATTTCCCTGTCGGGTACCTGCACCCTGAGCTCTCCCTGTCTCCCTATTAGGTACCTGCACCCTGGCTCTTTCCGTCCGGTACCTGCAGTTTGGCTCTTCCCATTTCCCTGTCGGGTACCTGAACCCTGAGCTCTCCCCATCTCCTCATCAGGTACCTGCAGCCTGAGCTCTCCCCGTTGAGTACCTGCAGTCTGAACTCTCCCCATCTCCTAGTTGGGTATGTGCACCCTGAACACTCCCCATCTCCCACTTGGGTACCTGCACCCTGAGCTCTCCCCATCGAGTACCTGCAGTCTGAACTCTCCCTGTCTCCCTGATGGGTACCTTCACCCTGAGCTCTCCACAATAACCACGTGATGCTGCAGCAGCTGGCCATGCCTGCATTACAGAAAGGAAACGGATAAGCAATCAGCAAATGGTGTCTGGAAACAATGGCGGAGATGTTTATCGCCCTGTTTAGGTCTGACTCACATGGGGTCTTGCAGCGTTGGGGGGAGGGGGCAGAGTGGCCTGCGGTCTCCCTGGTCACGTTCCTTCAGGCGCTTAGCTTGAAAAGAGAGGGTTTGTGTCAGTAGCAATTTCTTGATTTACAGAGAAGGTTTTACAGAGAGGGTTTCTGTTGTCATAATTGTATAGCAGATTATCAGTGTATACAGCGTTGTTCCTGTACCTTAGGTCCTCACCTCACTCTCACCACACCCTAACCCTCACCTCAAAACAGGTACAGCATCTGTAGATGTGTCCTGCCTGTGCCCTGTCTGTGTCCGTGTGTCTGTGGATGTGTCCTGCCTGTGCCCTGTCTGTGTCCGTGTGTCTGTGGATGTGTCCTGCCTGTGCCCTGTCTGTGTTCTCGTGTCTGTGGATGTGTCCTTTCACACACACCAAGGCCTGTAATGTTGGGCTTGTGTTCAAGAAATGCCCTGACAGTGACTCACCGCCGGCCTCTGTCACTTGCCCTGCCATGTGAGAGCGGCCGGCCAGGCAGCATTACATAACCGTCACCCCAGGGGAGAGAGCGGGCCCCGTCTGGCGGAGAGGGTGCCGTCGGCATGGTTACGCAGAGGCTATGGGGTCTTGGCCATCCCACCCCCAGTCTATGGCCAGCAAGCTTGTAGTGTGGCCAATCAGCTGTTCAGATGGATGCCCCTGGATCGTTTTCCTGGAGTCACAGCACCTTCTAAACAGATCCATCCAGTGTGACAGCAGGGCACAACCTGACCACAGCCTCCTGTACACTTAGCAGTAGAGTTTCCTCAGCAATATTTGTTTAAAAATTGTGATGCATGTTGCATTTAAAGGAATATATCCATATAATATCGATCTGGGATGTCACTGCTGATTCCCAACCCTAGTGCCTATTGTCAACTGCCCATTTCAGCTCTTTCCGCAGATGCTCAGTTGGATTCACATCAGGAACTCATGGCAGACTTCTTGAAAGTATTTAGGCAGAAGCTCTCCATGTGACCTGATGGAGTTTATTCCAGAAACCGTGAGGTGACATCAAAGGTGTTGATTGTCTTCTATACTGCTGGCAGATCAATAACAGTGCAGTCTAGCTGGGCCGGAAGTCTCCGGATGCCGTTTTTGCAGTTCTGGTCCCGCACTGTCATGAGGCCTGCTCTGGCCAGAAAGAGAACGGCCTTTGGGCCGGTTCAGCAATGCTTCTCGCTGTTGCTGTACCGTCTGGTCAGTGCACCATCGCCCCCTTGCTGGAGTCCTGAGCGACTGGCCGGGATGCCGTTTTCCCAGACTTCTGCTCCCGCTGGGGCTCCGTGGATGTGAGCGGCCTCTTAATGGTCCTGAGACTCGTCACGTGGGTCCATCTTTGGCCGCTTTGCCTGTCCTGCTCTGCTGCTGCACTTGTGAAGGTTTCTGAACTTGTTGATGAAATGGAATCCTGCAGGAGGGGCACTGGGGTGGGGGGGGGGTGTCAGGTGAGGATGGCCCTCCAACGTTTGCTTCCTATTCCCTGCCTCCCTACGTGGCCCACCACAGTCTGCGGAATGTTGATTTGGGGACTGGAAGCTACCACCCCCCCACCACGCTCCTTGATGTGAATGACCCAACAACAGGGACTCAGGAAGCTGGGGGGAGAGTGTTTGGGGAAGACTGGGAAGGGCCTTTTCCCTATGGGTTGGACTATCCATGGGGCGGCTTATTTGAAATGCATGGCATTCGTTTCCTTGTTTGTGTTTAACAGCATTTGGGTTCCACCAAGGGCCCAAAGCCAGTCCAGTCTGGGTCAGTACCGCACCGAGGATTGGGGAGGGTGCTCTGCTTCTCTGGACCCCCAGAGGTGCTTAGTTTTCCTGCTCCCCGTTTACACTCTCATCAGAGCAGAGCTGTGATTGGTTATGGAGCGTCACCAGGGTTGCATCCATAACCTTCCTGCTAACGACAGACGCTTCCTTCAGTTCAGTGACTCCAGAATCGATTTTTATCTTCTGTTGCGGGTCCCAGAATGAGAACCGGCATCCCGACAGTCGTCCCAGCAAAGCCCGTTAATTTTAATTAAAATCTGCTTTATTTTTATGATCGTTTCATATGAGCTGCCACTTAATTGATCATGCATGTCCAAAGCCCCTGCCTTAGAAATGAAGCCCCCCCCCCAGGGCAATTAGAGACTCCGTGGAAATGCCACCATGGTTAAATACCCCCCTAGTGCCGGCCGGCAAGCTGCGGGGTCACCGCTGTGTCTCATTCCACCCCCCACCCCCCTCCCCCGTGGTAGCAAAGTGATGTTTGCATTGACGTGCAGCCTCTGCTGTTTGTGGGCATTAAAAACAGGAAATAGTTTGTCTCCCTTGGTGACCGGGGGCCCCTGCCCTCCGTGATGTATGTGCGTGTGCAGGAGAGCTGCCTGCGGGGCTGGCAAATGGCTCAGGATGTTTATCCGCATGCTGGACATATGCAGTGAGAGAGGACAGGAGTCTGTGCGAGTTTGATGGCTTTCTGTGGGTTTCCGGTGAAGGAACCGCACTACATTCTGTGACAAAGGTAATATGGAAAAAAATGGCATGATGCTTTATCTGCCGTTTGTGCGAGCATGAGAATATCCCATCATGCTCTGCTTTTTAAAACACACAGATACCGGTGAGAGTGAGAACGCAGTCAGTCGTGAATCCGTGTCAGGCTGCGCGGGATGTACCTCTTTCGGCAGAGACGGCTGCCAGCCTCAGCGGAAAACATCAGCGTTTCCCAAAGCATTTCCCCAAATGTTTGTGTGCGGTTGTGAGAGCTCTTCTCTGTCTCTCTTCTAGGGCTTTCTGCATCGCCTCAGTCAGTATGCAGCAACTAAGGTCGACAAGAACATCACAGAGGAGACAGTGAAGGTAGGTGACCCATGGAGATGAGTCTTAAGGGCCACTCTGTACCCAGCCAGGCCACATGAGTTCTCCTTATGGAATGATACCGATGACTGAATAAAATGGGCTTGTTTGTTGGGAACTTTTCTGAATGAATGCAAATTCCAGATACAGGAAACAGCTGTAAACACACAAGTGTTATAAATAGACACCAGAGTGAGGAGGTTGGTGAGAGTGAGCGAGACTCCATCCTCCTCCAGAACTTACTCTGGCTTTGGAGAATAAATGTACTTGTTCATTTCAGGGAGCGTGTTGGCCAGGCAGTGTTTCACTCTTCCAGTTTTGGTGATATGTACACAAGGTTGTGATGTCAGCAGAAGGTTTTGCATTCCAGAGGTACGACAGTGCCAGGTTATCAAATTCAGTGAAAGGTCAGTGCATGGTCATCCATCCTCCAGTGGATGGGCAGATTCTAAGGTGTCTGGTGGCTGGACTGGATGGAAATGTGGGTTTCCCTTGACCTAATGGTAAATGTCAGCAAGCAGCTCAGGGAGCACCCACAATGCCATTGTTCTTAGAGCCCAGTTTTCTCCTGTTTACTTTAACTTTAAAAAGGAAATGTGCCCATTGAGAAAACCTTCTTTCAGATATGGTCCATTACCCAGTGTTGAAGGCTGACACAGTCCTGGTCCAACCTGTCGATTGGGTTTAGTGATAAGAGCAGGTTTTATCTCGTGACCTGAGTCTCAGTTCTGGCCTATCCTGCTCCCAGCTGTGTCCCGTTCATGACGTCCTGTCTGCCCCCATGGGGGGGGGGGGGGAGGGGAGGGCGCCTTCCCCCCATCTGTATCGCTCGTCCTTCAGCCTGCGGGGTTCAGACAGCAGCTGGCTTCTCTCCTGTCCTGGCCATTGCTGCATTGTGTGTTGCCCTGACATCTGCAAGAGTCATCCCTGTTTTGGGCGCATTCCACGCATTCTGAGATGCCGAACGAGCCTCTCGCTGCTGTCCGTGAGGATGGCATGCCATCTTCAAAGCCTCTGCCCTGGAATTCCACTGCCCTTTCACCTTTGGCCTTCAGAGGTTAATCTGTTCCCCATCCGATCTACCTCTGCTTTTTTCTGGCGGCTGCTTCTTACATGAGGTCCACGCCAGCCCTGACGAGATGCCCCCAGGCTGTATGTATTCATTGCGCTCATTTTGTTTTTGTCCCATCACCCCCAACCCTTCCTCCCAGGTTTTGTTCTCCAACATCGACGAGATCCTCGCTGTGCATAGGCTTTTCCTCTCCATGGTGGAGGAGCTGCTCGAACCCGAGCCTCATGCTCACCATGAAGTGGGCCGCTGCTTCCTTCATTTTGTGAGGCCCCGTCCGATGCACACTAAGCTAGTAGTCTGATGTGTCACTCTGATCTCTCTGTCAGTCTGTCTGTCACTCTGAGCTGTCTGTCTGTCTCTGTCTGTCACTCTGAGCTCTCTGTCTGTCTGTCACTCTCTCTCTTTCTGTCACTCTGTGAGTTCTCTGTCTGTCTGTCTCTCTGTCACTCTGATCTAGCTGTCTGTCTGTCTGTCACTCTGATCTATCTGTCAGTCTGTCTGTCACTCTCTTTCTGTCACTCTGTGAGTTCTCTGTCTGTCTGTCTCTCTGTCACTCTGATCTCTCTGTCAGTCTGTCTGTCACTCTGAGCTGTCTGTCTGTCTGTCACTCTGATCTCTCTGTCAGTCTGTCTGTCACTCTCTTTCTGTCACTCTGTGAGTTCTCTGTCTGTCTGTCTCTCTGTCACTCTGATCTCTCTGTCTGTCTGTCTGTCACTCTGAGCTGTCTGTCTGTCTGTCACTCTGATCTCTCTGTCAGTCTGTCTGTCACTCTCTTTCTGTCACTCTGTGAGTTCTCTGTCTGTCTGTCTCTCTGTCACTCTGATCTCTCTGTCTGTCTGTCTGTCACTCTGAGCTGTCTGTCTGTCTGTCACTCTGATCTCTCTGTCAGTCTGTCTGTCACTCTCTTTCTGTCACTCTGTGAGTTCTCTGTCTGT